GTCAAAATGTCTTCTCTGAAATGCTCAAATATTAAACCTCTTCACATTTCACGCCGATTTGTTTAATTAGAGCAGTGCCAATTTTCAGCAAATCAGAAAGCCAGTTGCTTAAGACCAGTTCTCATCCGGATCTTCACGGGTCTTTTAATCATGAAGATCACCGTGGTGGATTTTGCCATCTCTCTGTGTGTGCTAGTGATAACCTCTCACCCGACCTCGTTGACCTCGACACGGAAAGAATTACGCAGCAGATCACGTTGAGTTTTCAACCTCCTGCTTGCCCAGTCCTCTCTTTAAAGTATACAAATAAAGTCCTCGTCTGAATAATTACTTGAACGCCGACTGATTCATTCTTTCTTATTTTCACCAAATCCCATTCCAAAATAGGCCGACGGCACCGCAAGTCTTATCTTCCCGATGCAAGGGAGATAACTCACTATAAACGTGCAGTTTCCGCCCTTGACGAACAAGGCTGGAGTTATGGAGTTATATTTTGGTTGGACAAACGAGTCTATGCATAGTCCAATCAAAATCACGAAACGAAATCGACAACCAATCCATAAACAACATAGCGACTGACGTGCAAATTTCTGTCGATTGCAGGGTTTGCAAAACATGTGTACCGTAAACTGGGCGTCGACGGATATTTGGAAATGTTTTCATGTTTTCAAACAAGGTGCTCAAGTGAGGGTAACAGGTGCTCTTCAAGAGGTAACACCCATTTTATTACAATATAGATCTTGATTATCGATCAGACCGTGTTGACTGGGCGCCGCCATTTTGTTTGAAGCAAATGCATGTGAAATAAGAGAAACTGATTTGTCAATAGGAGGGACATAGAAGGGGCTTAACTTGTAACAGCCAATGGTGGGGCAACGATTGAGTCACGAAATTCCAGCCTAGTTCGGCAAGAGTGGAAACTTGATTTTTATAGTCAGTTAACCCCGATGCCTCGGAAAGATGAGCAACTCTTTATATTGTCAGTAAAAATACTGAACAACAAAAGTTCCTGTGACATTGAATAAGATTTAATGCAAAGTTATGTTTTTTTACCAAATCTGAAAATGCGTGATTTCATAAAAAAACCATGAACATGCCAAAATGTCAATTTACAAATCAATATCGTGTATGTCCACCTCTGGTTACGATGCAAGCAACACATCTTCGTCTCCTGGAATGGACCAGGCGTCGCACAAAGTCCTGTGGGATATCTGTCCATATTTGCTGGAGCATGTTTCGAAGTTCCTGGAGTGTCTGTAGAACAGGTGGTTGACGTCGAAGGCGCCGATCCATCTCATCCAACATGGGCTCGATTGGTAAGAGATCAGGGGAGCGAGCCGGCCAGGGGATGACATTCACGTTGTTTTGTTGAAGAGAATCCTGAACAAGTCGAGCAATATGAGGCCGGGCGTTGTCATGTTGAAAGGTAATGCATGGGCCATGACGACGCAAAAACGGTAGAACAACAGGGCCGATGATCACGTCGCGGTAGCGCTGTCCATTGAGATTTCACTCTAACACTATCAAACGGGTCCTCTGTCTTGCTGTAATCCAAACCCATAGCATAACGCTGCCGCCCCCGAACCGATCTCAATGACACAATGATTGACGTAACGTTCACCTCGACGTCGGTACACTCGAATCCGTCCATCGCTGTGGCTGAGATGAAAACGAGACTCGTCAGTGAATAGAACTTGTTCCCACTGCATGGCCGTCCAGCGTAGACGCTGGCTGCACCACTGTAGACGTGCTTGACGGTCGTTTCCTGTCAAAATGGGACGTCTGGCGGGTCTTCTGGTGACAATCCCTGCACATCTGAGGCGGCGACGTACGGTTTGTGAAGATATTCGTCGAAGGCCAGGGATGCTTCTTGCAGTCACTGTTGCTGACTGGAATCGATTTCGTAGGTGTGTTGTTCGAGTCCAGTTGTCTTGTCGATTATTTGTTACGCATGGCCTGCCACTCCGAGGATGTTCTCTGGCTGCATTCGTCTGTTGGCAACGTTGCCATCAACACCAAATGGTGTTTCTGTGGACGTTAAATTGTCTTGCAACATCACTATGACTCGATCCTGCTTCAAGCATACCAATGGCTCGCAGACGCTCATTTTCGGACAGGCGTGGCATTTCATAATGTTGAATAATTGCGTAATTTTGTTGTTTTTTCTGAGTGGTTGTTGTCAGCACGATGCTAAACAATGCATATGGAATCCCGTGAACGCACATGTTTTTATACCCATTCTTGGGTAGTGAAATGCATGGGACTTGCATAAAAGAAAACTTTTGCATGGAATGCATGTTTTTCTGTAGCAGTTGCGTTTTTGTGACTTGATTCCATACATGTCCTACAACACTGAAAAACTTTACTTGTTTGAAAAATAAACTAAAATATTGGTGTCACAGGAGCTTTTGTTGTTGAGTATATAAATATGTTTCTATTTGTGTAAACATAGAAAGAAGTGTTATTAAAAGTGTGAAAAGGGTTATTTAACAACATTTTTTAACCAGGCAGGAATATAAGTAATTAATCTTAAACTTGAGTAAAATGTGTTCCACCTATCAAGATCTGTGACTCCTTTTCGGAACGTTCTGAGATCGCTGACCTGTGTACCATGTGTAGTTGTCGTCATGGTAGAACCTCAAAACACTGACGTTATCTCTTATATGTCATCGGATTTTATCTGACGAATGGTTCAGGACTACGATTTGATCCGACTTATAACAAACTGGTTTCCGAGTCATAACATCGTGATTATGGTTTTAAACAAAAGTGGTAAACGTCAGAATTTGTTTGCTTGTTTGTTGTTTAACGCCGCACGCAGCAATATTTCAGCCATACCATGGGTAAACGTCTGAATCCTGCATCATTATGAACCTTTCTCACACATGGAGTTGATATATATCTGCAATCGCTACTTTCAAAGCGGTGGTAAACCAAACTATGACGAACTCACTCACACACGCACTCTCTATAACATTTAAAGAGGTACTTCGAACGGTTCTATAAATTGGTGCACACAATTATAGGCGCCAAGAAAGCACGGATACAGTTTTTTGGGAAGGGAGAGTGCAAAATGAATTCAAATAATCTGTGAAGCAATTTGCGTTTTGTAGTCTATTTTTTTTTATTATTCAAAACATATCACCTGCTGGGTAGGAGGTTTCTGTGGATTATTAAAATATTCGAGGCTTTAACAAAATATCTGATGTCTCAGTTAGTCAGTAATGTTTACAGAACTGTTCATGTCTCTCATGAAATGGGTTTCCAAACAAAATCACCAGGTGTAGGAGAATTCACGCTACTGCTTCAGTGAGAAAAATTCAACATCACTACTCATAGGTTTGGAATCGCATGTAAGAACACATAACAATTGACAGTGTTGTTAGCTACTTCTGTTTCACGCACTCAGTAAATCAATCTGTTTCTCATAGACCCTGAGGCACCTTTCCCACAGGAACTCAATAATGGTCAGTGCCCGAACAAAATATGCACTCCGTCACTCCTCATCTTCCCGTATATTGTACATGCTACACTTGTTGTCAAACACACATTTGAGTTTGAAAAAAAGTCACGAAAGGCGAGCGGAATTAGCCGCGGGCCAACCTGATTGGCTGACCTACTTCATCTTCCCGAATCAATTGTGTGAACTGACTATAGCCGTCCAAAATCCACCCTTGCCTACCTTGGCTGGATTTTCGGCGGTATATTTCGTCGATGTAAACAAAGGGGCCAAATGGCGAGTGACTTTTCTCTACTAACATGCAGGGGGTACTTTTGTGTATTCACTGATCAATAACGAATTCCTCTGGCTTTACAGTGAGTCGTTGGGCCAGCCCAAGTTGTCTATAAATGTTCATCCCCAGACAAGACAAACTAACAAACTAGTTGCCATCTCATCACAAACCAGTCAGGTTAAGGTCCAAGACATCAAAATCCTCCCCAAAACTATCCCACAATGTTCTTATATAGTTGTGATTGGTTATCTGTAGTCATTAGTGTATGTATGATGTAGGCTATGAATGTATCCCTACACTCGCCTTTTTGGTGTGAGGTGAGGTAAAATGGGGTTTACCGTCTCGTTCATGAGTATTGCACGTGTGTGTATGTGGTTGTTTGTACTAGTCCGGACCAATACCGATTTTATAGTACTATCCCACTGAGATACCATGCCGCAGTTTAACAAGAATACCTCACTCAGACACAGCATAATGACTCCGACGGCCCCTGTTCATCTTCCCAGGGCAAGAGAGTTTCCTGACTACAAAAGACCAGTTTCCTCCCTTGCCGATCAAGGCTGGTATTATGGAGTTATATTTTGGCTGGACTAACGACTCTATGCATAGTCCAATTAAAATAGCGCACCGAAATCGAAATCCGGTTCGTAAACTGTCATCCAGATTTCGGTCGATTGCAGCATTTGCAAAGTATGTGCACCGCCAACTCGTTGTCAACAGATATTTTCCTAATCTCTTCATGTTTTTAATCAAGGTGCTCACTTGATTTGATGCACTTCGCGATGTAAGAACCGTTTTATCACAATATAGATCTTGATTATCGATCAGATCGTCTTGACTGGGCGCGGATGATACGAGAGATGGAATCTGATTGGTCCATAGCAGAGGCTTAGAAGGGACATAACTCATAATAGCCACTGGTGGCGCTACGATTGAGCCCCCGAATTCCAGCCTAGTTCGTCAAGGATGGAAACTGGACGTTTAAAATCAGTTAACTCTCTTGCCTCGGTAAGATGGCCCATGTTTAGCCCCTTAATGCCGAGCGCCAGATAGGGTAACAACAAGTACCATCTTTTAACGTCTTTTGGTATGACGTGACCGGGGATCAAACCCGCGACTTCCGCTCCCCGGGCGGACACTATACCACTAGATACCATTTGATGCCCCGTGATACCCCAAACATTCTTTTATGTCATGACAGAATAACTAATATTAGCTCACTTGTCAACAACAGCAAATACAAGAAGGCCAGGAGACGTATACCATTTGATTTATTTCTTTGTAAATCCCGAAAGCAAGTTAAAAGAAAACAAAATGCAAAAGTCGTTGGCCCTCCAAGATAGACATGTCTTCAAATAATATATGCAGATACCGTGTTGATTTTCCCCTAGAAATACTTTCAAATATCAGTATTTGCACCGAAACATGTTCAGCTTTGTGAATCCCTCTCTAGTCAGTGATGAATGCGCAACCATATCTTGAATCCATTTTCAGAATATTATTCTTTGTATTCTGTCAGACCGGAACTGTAAAACATGAAAGGGCGTCTTCCATTATACAAAACAGACAAAAATATTTTTTCACAAGATTCAATAAAAATCGTTAAAAAATCCAGACATCGACAAGTACCATACTAGGAAGACTGATCTCATTGATACAACGCCTCTCGCCTATTGCTCTCAGAAACGAAGAATCTGTTCCGATGCTGTTACACATATCAATGTCTGATAAGTTAGAAAAACAAAAACAGTTATATATTTGATCACTTGCTGCCAATGATAATTATTGTTTACAGTTTGTGTTTGTCCCTGGTGTAAATATGCAGTCTGTGGAGTTATTTTTGTTGACGTATTTACTTCGGCTATGTAGTTAGAAACGGGCCTACAGGCTTTGCGTAAATCCTCAACGCGAATTTGCATGGTATGCACACCGGCTTACACGTTAATACCTCCATAATCTTTACACATATTGAAGCTAATGCTAATTAACATGATTTCCGGGTTTTTACTTTTAAGAGGTATAACTCGGCCCGACAAGAAAGGCATGCCGTCACTTGAGGTTTATAAAGACATTTAGAAGAGACGAAAATAACATGATTTTCTTTTTACATATGATGTTTTCTGTGCATTCGAGATTTATGCATTAAGATTTAGAATGACAATACATGTAAAGTATTCAGAAGCATGTATATACAAGACCATGACCAGAGTTTTTATTTCAAATTTCCAAAAGCCAGCTTTTTCTTTGTGACGATCAGCGCCAGCATCTGTTGTGATTTCACCTTTGCGGTGCAATTGAATGTATTCTTTCTACGACGATTTCAAACAGTGTCATGAGACTCTTTATCAGAAGTTGTTTGATACGGGTTACAGCATTGGTGGCGCTTTCAGGAAGTGTTGTGTTAGGAAGGTGTAGGACACTTCAAACTTTGCCACATCAGTGATCAAAATGGTGTTAAAACTTTTGTTGGTGTGTCATGTGTTCCCGTGTTTGTTCAAAGAACATATGTCCTCGCGAAACATGCTGGATATCCTGTGAAAACTTGTGTTGTGTAAAATACCCACTGTTCTGCTCTTCCTACATGCATTAGTCCTAAACATATCCTGTCTCGAACCAAATATTGTATTGTTCATAAACTTTACCTAATTCCCGAGGACGCAATCCTTACACGTGGTTCTGCAGACCCGGGTTCGTTTCTGGTTCGTCTCGCCAATGCAGCTGTCCTTGAGGCAAGTCCTTGTTCTAGTGTCGTCGACAAGGCGTTGTTTGGTGGTACAGTCACAGTAACAGGCGTTGCTCTTCCACGAAGTCCAGTCAGTAAAATCTGAAACGGACGTCCAATATAAGTACATGAAATAAAGGCTTGATCCACACAAGGACATTACCTCTTTGTTTGTTTGGTAGGGGTGGAGGTGGGGTCGAATATTTACATACCGCCATCATAAGCTGGAATATTGTTGAGTGCGGCATGATACCAAAATATGTTAAATGATGGTGCTTGTTGTGACCCTGCCTGGCGCTCAACGAGAACAAGGACTGGTCAACAGCACCATATCTCAGTGGGCCTGCACTATAAAACCGACTGAAATCCGGACTAATGAAAGCCGCCACACGCAAACACTTTGCTATATAAGTCCAATAATCTGAAACGCGACCTTAAACCCATTTCATCTTCCCTCTCCCTTGAATATGCGGGTTAGAAGTTTTCTTCAGCAATCAATACTTAAGCACGAGAATCTGATGACACACAAGTTCAGTAGCGTGTATGGCCACCATGTGCGTTGACAACTGCCACACAACGCCTCCGAATGGACCTTGTGATGCTTGTGAACACATGATTGGGAAGACGACGCCATTGTTGCTGCAAAATGGTGCCAAGATCTTGCAAATTCTGTTGTTGGTTCTGGAGAGTGTGCAGACTTCTGCCAAGAGTAGCCCAGACGTGTTCGATGGGATTGAGGTCGGGAGACCTTGACGGCCAGTCCATGACGTTGACTCCCGCATTCTGAAGGAAATTCCTTGTCAAAATTGCTGTGTGGGGTTTGGCATTGTCGTGTTGGAAGATCAAACCGGGTCCATGCGCTGCCACAAACTGCAAAGTTCTGGTGCCAGAACCTGGTCGCGGTAAGCAGCAGCTTTGAGGTTGCCATGGATGACAAGAAGCCTGGAACGTGCATTGCCACAGAAAGCACCCCACACCATGACACTTCCGCCTAGAAATCTGTCAACTTCCTGTACACAACACTGGGCGTATCGTTCATGACGGCGCCTCCACACCCTCGCCCTACCATCAGCAAGTCGAAGATTAAATCATCGGGATTTTATCACCGAAGACGACTTGATTCCAAGACCATCGTAAGTGTCGCTGTGCCCACAATTGACGTTGACGTCTGTGTAATTGAGTCAGAATCGGCCCTCAGTATGGTCGTCGTACTTGAAGGTGAGCAGTTCTCAGACTGTTTCGAACAGTTTGCGCACTCAGTCTTACCCTAAACAGTTCATTTCTGGTTGATGTAGCCGTCAAAAATCGGTTACGGAGGTGACGTAAGAGAATCTGACGATCCTCTGCATGTGACGTCAGACGTGGTCGACCTGGCCGAGTGGCGATCAGCACTGGTACCCGTTTGCTGTAGACGCGTCTGTAAATCATAAACAGTCCGTCGACTACAACCCATCGTCCTTGCGTCCGTCCAACCCTCCCGTCTGCAACATGCCGATTGCACGTTCACGTTGCACATTTGAAAGGTGTGGCATGACAAATGGCCGTAAAGACTTCTGTTTTCTTGTGTTTTTCTTTTTTGTTAATGCCTGCTTACAAGTATGGCTGAAAACACGTGCGGTATTATGGCCACGTGACCAGTTGCACGTGAAAAACCACTTTTGCCACTATAGTGCTGTGCACATGATTTTGATCGATTCACCTGCACAAAAACGGGTGTTATCTGAACACAATATGTGGCCATTACTGTTTAAATACACAACAAGGGCCCACAATGATAACTGGTCAAAATGTTAAATTTTAGGATTGTGAAGTTTTTAATTTGGTTCAGTATATATCCTGGTCCTCCGAATTGTACCATATTTACTGCATGTAATAGATGTCTATTTTCTACAACATTTCTAAGTAGCTTATCCCGTGCTGTTAGATTGCCCTTACAAACATCAGCATTTAAATCGCCTAAGATAAAAACTGTTCCTAATTCACACAGATTATCATATACATCAATCAGTTAATCAAGGGCATTGCAGTATACAGAGTTTAAAACATTTGTAGATGGTAGTCGACTGGCTATTACATCAACATCACAGTAGCCTGTTTGTGACAATTTAACACTTATTGCATAATCCGAGCTTATAGCTATTGGAATAGCTTTCCACTTGGTGTGTGGTCAACAGAAACAGTACAAGTGCAATAGACAGGCAAAGAACACTAATTCATTTACGATAGTTTTATTTAGTTTCAAGCAACAATTACAGACAACAATTACTATTGTACTTCAATTGACATTTACAAAGTTTCTGAATTCTCAAATTTCTATTATAACCACAATTACCAAATGACTCGCGTGTCGAACGATGTTGCCTATCCTAACTCTTAAGCCAAACTGAATAACAACGACACATGGTGGTCGACACCTGGCGCACATGCATGCTTTTTCCATGCTTTTTGATATGTATCCACGAAGTAAAGCAGTGTGTGCGTGAACTGTTTTCACACACAGGAACGAAACAGAACTACCTGTTCGGAAACATTACATACTCACAGCAATACAATATGTGATGACAATATCCTTATGTCCATATCCCTCTCCTTCATAGAACGGAGTCTGTCAACACAAAATAGTAACCAACTTTCCACAATCGAAATAATATCCTCGATCACATCCACAATCGTATCTTTTTGGTCAAGGTTCTGTCACAAAATTGTATATCTCACATTGGATAGATTCTCATGTTAAATCCATCAATCTCACAAATGTTCACATTTCGAATGTCAGAATAGAATCCATAGAATCCTGTGTTGTCCTTTTGTTCAGTGACATCTGGTACTTTATCAGCTAATGCTGTCCGTTTCAAGAGGGCACACTTTCGTCACTGGTCTAGTAGTGTGAGTGTGTTAAAATTTAACGTCGCATTGGCATTATTTCAGCCAATAGTTGTGCAATTTGAGCGCCGTGCTGGCCAACGTTTTTTCTGACGACATACACCAGAAAAAAACATCGCCAAAATGCAATGGCCAGCAATGAGTGCTGACCGTTCCGCCATAAGACATGGCATGATCGGGAGACGTCAAAGGCCACTCACTGCGTTAACCTAGTTGGACCAGTCGCTGCGAGGGGAGTGTATACTTAGTGAGGTGAAATTGGGTTTAACGTCGCATCCAAGATAATTGCACTGATATAGCGACGTGCATGCACGTGTATGTATGTGTGTGTGTGTGGCTGCTTGTACTAGTCCGGACTGATGCCGATTGATAGTGCTAGCTCACTGAGATACCAAATCGCAGTTTAACATCAGACACAGTATACTGACTCCGAGCCGACCAGTCCCTGTTTTAGCCCCTTAAAGCCGAGCAACAGACAGGGTAACGACAATTACAATCTTTAAACGTCTTTTTGTATGACGCGGCAAGGGATCGAACCCCGGACATTCCGCTCTCCGGACGGGCGCTAGATCACGGAGGCGGTCTTATATACTTAGTAATGATTGTTAACTTGACATGGGTTCACGCGCACACACATACATGTGTGGCTTTTACCGATTTGGGGGACGCACCATCCCAATTTCGTGTTGTAATGCGTTTATGCCCTTCTTGACCGCCTCCGTGGTCTAGTGGTAGAGCGTCCGCCCGGAGGTCAGGATTAGACCCTCGGCCGCGTCATACCAAAAGACGTTAAAAGATGGCCCTTGTTGTTACCCTATCTGGCGCTCGGGATAAAGGTGTTAAAACAAGGACTGGTCGGCGCGGAGTATACTGTGACTCAGTGGGGTATTCATGTTAAACTGCGGAATGGTATCTCAGTGGGCTAGCACTATAAATCGGCATCAGTCCAGACTAGTACATTTTGTTGGGTGGTTGGTTGTTTTACGCCGCACTCAGCAATATCCCTGCTATATGACGGCGGCCGGACTTGTACAAGCAGCCATACACACACGTGCATGTACGTCGCTATATAAGTGCAAAAATCTTGGACGCGACGACATTGGCTCGTCATCAAGGCTAGACTGTTCCTTGTGGAATCATTCATGCACTGTCGTGGCGTTAGGACGAGACAACCTTATGTCTATGGTCTGGTACACAGACGTCCATGGCCGATCATTAACTTAAGATTCACATTTATTTGTTTTGATTATGTCTCTATTTACACGTTAGCCTAATACCCGGTCGTGTGTGTTCATGGCACACCCGTTGGTTACACCCCTTAATGTCCGCAATAAAACATTTTGAAAGTTTCACTATGGCCTTGAACGTTTTGACGTATGACGCCTTTTTAAAATATTCGTCGAATAAACATTCGGTCTGAAATATAGTGATAGAAAAATAGACATTTTTTTTATGCACCGATTGTCTTTAAATGTAATATCCAGTTATGTATGACTGTTTACTAATCTCATACCAACTCTGACTGGAGTAGGTCCAATACTTTTACAGATATTGTAGTAAACGTCGGTACCTTAAATTACCTTAAATTACCTTCCAGACTATAGCTGTTATATTGCTGAGTGCGGCGTTAAACAACAAACAAACAAACAAAGAAAAAAATAGGTTTTGAGAGCGACTTTACATGTTTGTAGCTCTGACCATACACAACAGGTCGTATATCCATCTACAAACCTTCGATAAGTACTAATAGATCGGCCAATCTATTATGTAACGTCATTAATTTTCTTCTGGTTCCAATTTTATTTGTACATTGAATACACTTCATGATTAGTTGTTTGTCATGTTAAAGCGTAATTTTCGTTCGCCTTTTGAAAAAAAACATTGACCCGTGAATATGCGGGTAGAGAATAGGTCTTCAGCAACCATGCTTGCCGTAAAAGGCGACTATGTTTGTCGTAAGAGGCGACTAACGGGATCGAGTGTCAGGTTCGCTGACTTGGTTGATGCATATCATCGATCCCAATTGCGTGGGTCGATGCTCATGATGTAAATCACTGAACTGCCTGGTCCAGACTCCATTATTTACAGACCGCGGTCATATAGCTGGAATATTGCTGAGAGCGGCGTAAAACAACAAACAATCAATTCACTTCTCAATTTTCGTCAGTTCGGTGGTCTTGTGGAAAAACGTCAGCCCGGGGAGCGGAAGGTCCCGGATTCGATCCCAGGCCGCGTCATCCCAAACGACGTTAAATGCTGGTACTTGTTATTACCCTTCAGACGCTGGGCATTTCGCAGCTCTAACAAGGACTGGTCGGCGCGGCATCAGTATACTGTGTCTGGGTAGGGTATGCGTCTCACACAGCGGCATGGTATTTCAGTTGGCTAACAACTATAAAATCGGCATAAGTCGGACTAGTACAAGCAGCCACGCACGTACGTACGCACGCACGCACGCGCGCGCATGCACGTTGCTATATAAGTGCAATAATCTTGGACGCGACGTTAAACCCCATTTTACCTCACCTCATCACCTTCGGGCATATTACACAAACACGTACAAAGGCAAGTCAATTGTTCACCTGAAAGGACGGAAAACACATGGTATAAGTCAAAACATTAAATCTTATCGGACATCATTTTTGACACTGCCGCGTCCAATTCGGACATGAACTACACATAAAGATTTGTGAAAGCACAGCTCAGACCTCGAATGTTTCAAACAACTTCTGAGGAAGAGTCGTATGACGCTCTCCGAAATCCTCACAAAGAGAGCCTGTACTGTGAGCGGTTCGATCCCTGGCCGTGTCACACCAAAATACATTAGAATATGGTTCTGCCTTGGACTCGGCATTTATGGCATCAAACAAGGATTGGTCGGGTCAGTATACTGTGTCAACATTGGATATCTTTAACTCAAGAAATAATGGACAATATGCTCCTTCTCTTTGCTGATGATGTATTTTTTTCTATTCTGTAAATGACTTGCAAAAACAGTTAAATGTGTTACAGAGCTACTGTTCGAAATGGTGCCTTGAAGTGAATCTAAAAAAAACTCAATGATGTAGTCCTTAGAAAAGGTGGTATTGTTGCAAAACATGAAAAATGGTTTCCTGGTTCATATGCCTTGAGTGTAGTCACTTACTATAAATATTGAGGTTATATGTTCTCCTCTGGATTGTCATGGTCTATGGCATGTAAGCAATTAACTGAATCGAAAGCCATTATGCCTTTTTATAATGTTTCAGGAAAAATAGTTGTGTTTCTTTTTTCAAAACATGTGCCATTGTTGAAGGCAAAATTATGCCTATACTTTTGTATGGTTCTGAAATATGGGAAGCTGTATTACGCCGCAACTGAAAATGTTCACACTTCATATTTCAAATGTTTTCTAGGTGTTGGTAAGTTTGCCTCAAACAGAGCAATCCTTGGTGAAACAGGCCTTAGTAATATTTTTGTAGCCACCCAATTAAGGGTAATTAAGTATTGGATTAAATGCCTGATAGATACCCATATCAGTGTCACAAAATGTTAAAGGCACTTCGTGATAATGGTAAAAATAATTGGGTTTCAGATGTGAGAAATCTATTATTTGTTAGTGGCTTTTCATATGTATGGATTCCCCAAGATGAGGGAGATCCACAGTTATTGTTATATTCATTTAAGCAAAGACTACAGTATATAGTTTGTCAACAGTGGCACCAAAGTATTTCTGAATCATTTTATCTTAGCAGTTACTGCAAAGTAAAATCATTGTTACAGACTGAAAGATATTTAACTTATCAGAGCTAAATGTAAACTTAGAATTTTATTGCACAATTTTAATGTAAATGTATATCGCAGGTCCAAAAACTGTGATATTGTGAACTATATTTGTACAAACTGGTCATCCGGAGAAGTAGAGAATGAATATCATGTCTTACTTATATTATATGTGAAACGTATTCCCATCTAAGGTATACATTTCTCCCCATGTTGCAAGGTATTTTTAAAGACCGTCAGTTAATGATAAATCTGCTAAACTCTGAAAATCCTGATATGATCCAAGTATATTTGAAACATGTTTTTATAATGAGGAATGTGTAACTTGATTTAAAATCTAATCATGTACATCAAGTGACAAATGTTAATATCCAATGTGCATTGTAGTATTGGCCTTGATGCCTAATTTACTGAATTAACTGCCTGTCTGTCTACTGTGCCAGAATGGAGTATTCATGTTTAACTGTGACATGGTGTCTCTGTATAAGTGGAAATATCACCAACGCGACGATAAACCCTATTTCACTTCACCTATTGTAACGAGAAACTGCCTCCGTGGTCTAGTGGATAGGGCGTCTGTCTGGTGAGTGGACGGTCGGGGTTCGAACCCGGACTGTGTCATAACAACGAGACGTTAAGATGTAGAACTTGTTGTTGCCCTGCCTGGAGCTCGGCATTACAGGAATAAAACAAAGACTGGTCGGCTAAGAGTCAGT